TGGGGATCGAACTCGGGACCTTGCGCTTGCGAGGCAGCATTGTACCATTTTTAATGTATCAGATTGGGAATATATTTTAAAAAATGAATCTTTCCTTTCATGTGCAAGTCTTCCCCTGTTTGTTTTAGCTGGCTGTGGGCATGGCACTCACATTCTGACCTCTTGAGGCTGAGCATGTTTTGAGGGAGAGCTTCTGGACCCTGGCAGAGCAAGATGCAGGCTGACGGGTGGTATCTGCCCCTGCTGAAACCTCTGCATCAGCCTCATACATCACCAGGCTCTGGAAGGCATGGTGCTGATGGCAGAGCCATTCTCTCTCCCTTTTCCATTTGTGTGTGTGTGTGTGTGTGTGTGACCTGTGCCAGCCAAGGGGCCTTTCCCTGGCCCAGCATGTTCTCACACAGAGAGAATCTTCCCTGCAGGGCATGGTCAGGTCTTTATTATTCAGAATGGTGATCCATCACCTTATCATATTTCAGGATTGTTGTGTTCCTCTCTGTCAGCTGTTAAATCAAAGGAAACGAAAGTTGGTTGTTTGGTGACAGCAGACTTTATGGAAAAATGATTTTCAACTTTCAAGACAATCTGAGATGGGACTGTATGTTTTAAATACCACTGACCAATGTCCTCATTTCCTTTCTGCCATTCAGTTCATTATAACTCCCGTTCTTATTGCTGGCTCTGTTCTTGTTCTTCACTCCCTGAATGCAGTGTCTTGAGTCGCAGCAGTAGACACTAGCTCAGTCTCTTCATTGTAGGTGTTTGTCAAGTAAGTTTTAGTCTAAAATTTTAAGGTGTGGGAGTTTAGAGCCCTGTTTCTCCCATGCCTCTGTGTGTGTGTGTGTGTGTGTGTGTGTGTGTGTGTGTGTGCATGTGTGTGTGCGTACATGCAGGTTCTGCTGCTTCCCACTATGTGACTGTACATTAAACACTTAACTGTTTTGAATCTCAATTTCCTGATCTGTAAAATGAGAGAGTTGGATTAATTAATCCCTATGGTCTTTTGAATTCTGTGAGTCTGACAGACATTTTTATCCAGTGATTTGTTACAAACATGAGCCAGGTGTAATTACTTTTCGAATATATTTTCCCCTGGATGGTTCCCACCGAATAGTCAAGTCATTGAAAGCAGCAGTGGTGAACCTTTTAGGGCATTCCGTGATGCAAACAGCCTGTTGTGGCACGCGTGTCGTAGGTTCCCTACCACTGATTTAAAGGGTTCATTCTGATTCAAAACAGCGTCTTTCCTTAATCGTTGCGGTGTCTGTAGTTTACTTAGTTGGGGCACAGAATGGCTTTATATTGTGTTTAGAATTAGTAGGAACGATGTGTGCTTTTAGAGCAGTTACCGTCTACAGAGTGAAACAGCGTGGAAGGTCTGTACAAATGACACTTCCTTATTTGCAGACGACTTATTTTTTTTTTCTGATGCTTGAGATAATCTAAATAAAGAGATTCATTTCATTTGTGGCATGGATTCTCTAGCTCAGTACTACTTACTTACCATCTCATCCTGTTCAAAGAAGCTGCCAAATGGTGCCTAAACATCGATTACGCATGATTTAGCTTTCTAATTTAGCACGCAGTTTAACGGGGCCGGGCTCTCGTGTTGCATATAAGAGGAGTCCCTTTTCATTTGTCCATGTAAACTGCAGATGCATCCATGTTGCACTTCTAGCTTCCCCTGGCACAGGACTGTGACTGCCCTAGCACATGTGTTTGGTCTTGGTGGGTGTATGCGGCCAACGAATGCCTTTCCCAGCTATCTCTTGCCATTGAGAGAAGGGAGTGTTTCTGTGTTTCCTTCAGTTGTTTATAGATATGGAGTTTTATAGTTTTAATATAGTAGTCAAAATATGACTCTTAAATTCTAGAGTTTTGTTTTTTTATGTGACTTGCACTGGGACATTTCTCAGTACTTCATGAAAAGTGACCCCCCCCCCCGCAAGAACAGTATAAGCATCAGGTACAGTAAAACCAGGCTCTTTCGTACCTTGGGCAGGGGCCACATCCCTCCAACATGTGTCGCCACCAAGGCAAGTCCACCTCCACAATCACTGTACCTCCCGGGAGCACATGCACCCATAACCAAGCCCTGGGAAATCTCAGGCGTGCTATCCTTTCTCCCTCTGAGCTCTGGAGTGTTCTCAGATTACACGACTTCTCTGGGCTTGAGTCACATGATTAAAAGTGGAAGCACTGTTTAATCCATAAAACACCCTGTAATGGAAAATGACTGAATCAAGTTGGTTTAAAAATGAATCCTTTATGGTCTTTTATTATTTTGTTGGGATTCTGACATGTTTTGGTAGCTCTCAGGTGGAAGAGGCCAAGGAAGGAGATTATTTCCTAGTTGAAAATCATGTAGGATTTGGATTCTAGCTCTGGCCTCATCTGTAACTAATGGTGTCATTTTCTGTATGTTGGCTAACCTCTTATGTTTCAATTGCCTGCGATGTTAGATTGTTGCTTACCTTCCCAGCTGAGTTCTTCTGAGAGTAAGACAAAATATTTCTGTGTCTTGAAAATGTTAAAGCCATAGCGATTGCCTAAAACAGTCTAGCATTAATGTGAAATAGATACCCTTAATAACTATGTGCAAAGTTAAATTTAGAGGGGTCACAGTTGGGCTATTACCTCTCCAGTAGAAAGTTTTCTGTATCAAACTTTGAGCCCAGGCTAGAATTTATACTGGATTGATTGTATTCATACTGAACATGTTAGAGATTTGTCTGTCGGTTCCTTGGTTTCAGTGGAATCCAGTGTCAGAACTGGATGTTCACTGCAGGCTTCGCTGAAATGTCAGCCATCAGTCAGATTGGAGCATTCTTTATCAGCCTGCACTTCAAGGGGGGCGGAAACAGCTATCGTTTTCATTCATGGACATCTGCCTGCTCCGATGCCGTGTCTCCCTGAGGATCCCCCAGGGGAGACCTGCTGGGCTCCTGGGCCGGAGACCGGGAGCCTTGCTCGGCTCGTTTCCCACTCATTGTGCAGCCTGGGCCCTATCGCTGGACAGGCCTGGCAAGGAAGTGAGGAGGAAGCCAGTACCACTGCTGGTTCAGAATGTTCCAGTGTGGTTGGAAAGTTTGAGAAGCAGCTTGGGTGAGAAGAACAAGATCTCACTGACAGAGTTCAGTGCTGGTCAGGTCTGGTTCACATCAGCTTTCTAAATAATCGCATATCTCCTACCCCAGGGAGCTCCAGCACAGTCACCTCTGCTATTTTTTTTTTTTTTTAACATTCTATGCAACTATGGAGGAACACAAAGCATTTCCCATTTTTATTCCAAGAGAATTCTAAACCATGGAAAGTATAGTGTTGTCTACTTCAAAACAGCACAAGCGCATACAACTCATGTTTACTAGGGCTTTCCAACCTATCGTTGAGTTATGGTCTTTATTTCAAGTATTTTTCTACTGAGCTGTTCATTGATTGATTTACAAGACTACTGATTATTTGAACGTTTGAAATGGTCACAAAGGCTAACCTGGCTTGTCCTGGCCTGACTTGGTCAGCCTTACGATCTGAGTTAGTGAGCACAGTGAGCATGTTAAATCTGTGCACAGCGATGAAAAGGCCAGACACTTTGTCTTCTTCACATCAGCCTATGAACCAGAATATTTATGTCAAGAAGTCAGAAGAAAATCTGCTGGAGATTTTAATGAACCACAAAATGTATCCCTTGCTTTCCCTGCCTTGTCATTTGGTCTGAATTTATGCAGGACTTCTGCATTAGTGTTGTGAGCACTCGCTTGGCAGTCTTGTCATTTTCAGGACCCATAGGGTGTCGCTAGCTCCAGCTTTAGGCCAATAAGGCTTGCTTTGTTTTTCTTTTTCCTGAAATATCTAGTTGGAATTGAAGCTCAAAGGGATCTTTTCAGTTTTTTCAAACTGAGGAAATCCAGACACCCCCAACTACTTTTGAGGACATACATTTCTAGGAGTTAGAGTTTTATGTTCATGTCCGGGTGGCATGAACCTGGCAAAGGAGACTCTGCCAGGAATAAAAGCAGAAGAGCACTTACAGGATCTGTTGTAAAATAGGGACCCAACTGTTCTGAGGGAGGTTGGTGACTTTTTACAGTATCTCTAGAATGGGTAATTTCTCAACTTTTAACTTCTTAGTAGTTTAATTGGTTATCTCACACACTTTCTTTCCCTTAAAAATGGTGCACAGAATACTGTTTAACTAGAAACTCCTACTCAAATTTTAAACACAATTATTGAAAACTAGTTGAGAATCTCAGTGTTTCATCAGATGCTTTCACCTTCGGTTAGGAATTAACTGCATGATTTAAGATGAATGCAAATGAAGTATTTATTATGTAATAAAAATTAATATCCTCATTTTTTTAAAGTTCACATGTGTATGTCCATAATGTGCTGTGATCATACAGATGTGATTGCCTTCCCATCCCCGTATACACATATACACCTTAAAATCCTTTATCCCCTCTTTGACTTTCTGCAATTCTGGAGGTTAGCAATACCTAGAAGCTCGGCAGATGGGCTCAGCTTCAGTAATTCTAACTTCCTCTCTTCTCGTGCCTGATCCTCCACCCATCCTTCCCTCTCCCCAGCCACCCAGCTCTTATTGCATCCCAGATATTCCTGTTTTACTCCCCACTCTGTTGTACTCCTGCTGGGTGTTCCTGCAGCACCCAGGCCTTCTGCTTTGTGCACATACATGCATATTTCGTATGACTAGTAAGGGGCAAAAGGTAAACCCAAGTCCTCTCTGTTACCTCCTGTTACATCCCTGGGTTGCTGCATCTTCCTGTGTCTTCTGTGGAGCTCACATGAATTACTGTTGGAAAAATGCTCTCTGAAGACAACACTGTATGTGTTTATTGTCATCCTAGGTACTTTTATTTTGGTTGTCAGCAGCCTTGATTTTTTTGTTCAAGTAGACTTTTACATGCTTTTCTCAAAAGTCTTGGTCCAGTGTGTGCCAGTCACCATAGGTCTGATGCTTCCCGATTTTCCTTTTCTTCCAGGATGGTTCCTACTTGGCTGAGTTCCTGTTGGAGAAAGGCTACGAGGTGAGTGACTCAGTAGTGTACTGGGCGGTGTGATCAGTAGGACATGGTGGCCTCGTGCTTCCTCTGCTTCGGTCCTCCTGTATGTGTTTTCCATGGAAACTGATAACAAATCAGAATCGGGGAAGACTATGCTGCTGGGCCTGTGGTCCTGCCAGCTCATTGTACTGTTTATCTGCTGGTGAGCCCTGGTGGCTCAGCTGCTCCACAGGCCTCCCCCTTTCTCCTTTAGATAAAGCAGCAGCCTGTGCAAGCCAAACTGCAAAATTTATGATGTAATGTGTTACATAAAAACGTTCTACTCACGGTGAAGTCACTTAATTCGGAAATTGCACAGAGCAATAAAAATGAAGCTGATCTTTGGCAAGCTTGAATGAAAAATTTACACCTGGAGGTTTTTGCCTTCTAATGGGCAGCCATATATTTCATAGAAGCTGAAAGTTTTAGATTTGTTGCTGCTGTTGTCTTCATCATCTTTTTCTTTTCCTTCAACATTTTCTCCTTTCCTTAAGAAACAAGGGTTTTTATATTAAATTTGATGCAGTTCAGTATGTACACTGCTTTTTTTAGAGCACTCTTAAGAGATATACATGTGTATAAATTTATGCTCTACAGAGACTAAAAACCTACACAGTGGTCCATGTGCTCTGACTTGCTTTACGCGGTCTTTTTTATTGATAGCTTTGCCTTGTCTCTTTATTCCAGTTGTAGTGACAGTGTATAAAAATGTGCAGTTGGGACAAATGGAAAAGCAACAGCAGGAATGTGGTATCTACACACCAATGAGATTTGAAGAAATGAAAATTAATTTTCTTACTGTAAATTCAAAATCTTATCTGATAGCTTTGACTTTTAGACTTGACAAAGTCACAGTAGATGTGTGTAGCACCTTTTTACTCTTATCTAATAGTTCTACATCTTGTAATATCAAAATAAGGTAAATGTAATTATGAAAATACATATTGTACTGCATAGATTGCTATGATAATTGAGGATATAAATGTGTATGCTACAGAGAAGAGAGTTTTAGGGTCAATCATATGAAGTTCAGAAGAGTGGATTTAGGAGAATATTCAGGCAATATTAACCGTGTAATGCGTTAATAAATATTAAAAGAATGACAGAGGGCATCTGCAGAACTGCGCTTCCCATGTGCGTACCTGCCGGAGACAGCCAGGAGCCAGTGCTATGGTCGAGGTATGGGTGAAGCAGGAGAAGGAGCCAGCTGAGCAGTGGTGGTTGCGGCTTCGAGGAGGGAAGTGGGGCAACAGCAGCAGCGCTCCAGCTGCAGGGCTATCGAGACCCTCTGTGATGTGGACAGGGAGGGGGGAGTGGGAGGGAGGTTGGTGGGAACCAGCAGTGCCCTTCTAGTCCTGAGGACTGGGTGTGGCCGCACGCTGTGCTGCCCGGTGAGGTGAGGGAAGATCACTGCGACTCAAGGCTCCAGTGAGGGCTGCTGACTGATGCAACCACAAGGGGAACAAGGTGGCTGAAGGTGTTATGAAGCTGAGAGGGCTGACCTCTCTGAGCGCTTTTGAATTAGGTCTATCACTAGTCTCAGAAGTAACTAGGAGCAGCGGTTTCAGGTAGCACAGTGCAAGTCAGGATCAGATAAACACTGTGAAGAAGAGGGCTGATGCTGAGGCTGAGTTGTTCTGAGGAAAGATGCAGGCCGACTTTGATTGGCTAGCAGTGGTGAGGGCAAGCCAGCATGAGGGTGGTGAGGAAGCGTGCGCTGTTCAGAGAAGCACTGCGAGGTTGGCAGGATAGTGGTGCTGGGGCGGTGTACACAGGAAGAGACCCTCTGTGGAGAATTCGCACGGCACAGGCAGCTACACGCCTTTGCTTTTTCTCCAGTTGAAAAAGCAAACGAAGAGCTTAGCTAACTTGAAAGCAAAAACAGACATTTGTGAATGGCTCTGAAAGCAGTAGCATATATTGAAGGACCAATTAATAATGGTAATTACCTTGTGTGACCACACACTTTAGATTTCTTTTTTCACACTTTAGATTTTTGAAGGTTTGAGGCCTGGCCATTTAAATGTGGCCACTGAAATATACACATCGGGTCATGTTTAGAATGAACTCTTTAACATGCACAAGTAAAGTATAGTCGTCATCTCTTGGTATCTTCAGGGGATCAGTTCAAAGAGCCCCAACAGATAACAAATTTACATATGATCTACACGTCTCCATGTGTACTTTAATCTCTAGATTATTTACAATAACTAAGACTCTGTAAATGTTATATAAATATATGTACTGTTTAGAGAATAATGGTAAGAAAATCTCTGTATGTGTTCAGTACAGATGCAACTAAAATTTTATTTTTTCAGTATGAGGTTGGTTGAACCCATGGATACAGAGTCTAAGGGTATGGAAGGCTGATTGTATCGCTTTATCCCCTGGCTCAGTTCTCAGTGAGAAGAGACTAAAAATTATCATTGTTATTGTTGCTTGTCTTGAATTTTACTCAGGATTAAACATTAAGGAAAACAGAGAATGTATCCAACATTGTTCATTCTTTATTATATATTATAATTATTATATATATTATAATGAGAACGAATTACCAGGCTTTATGGGAAATTACCCTGTGAATACTTGATGTACTTATTTCTGTGCCTTGCTGAAGTGCAAAGGGCCATTCTTTTTTACACCCACTTGGCCAGCACAGAGAAGCGAGCAAGGGAGACCTGGGGCTTGGGAACTGGATGGGCTGTGTCTTAATCCTCCTCTGCCAGTTGCTGGCTTTGTGGCCTTGAGCAAGTCACTTAGCTCCTCTAAGACTTAGTGTCCTCATCTGTAGATGGGGTGATGAGCATGCCTGTTTTCTGAGGTGGTCATGAAGAGCAGGTAAGAGGTCACACAGAAGACACTTAGCCAAGGCAGTCTGTGGAGTACAAGGGGCTTACTGCTGCAGGAGTGATGGAGAGGTGTCTGATGCCAGCAAGCAACGGACATGGATGGCGTGGAAGGCATGAGTTAGCGTTACTAAGAGGCAGTCATCTTGCTTAGGATGCTAGAGCCATGTGTGTTCCTTCCCATCATTAGGGAAAAAGGAAAATCAACAAAAGGGAACCTTTTTATGGAATCATATTCTAGTTTCATGTGTCTTCTTAGCACTGCTGACAGCAGCTAAGTGACAGCATATTGGCAGCAATGTACCCTTTTGTCCATTTACAGAGAAAAGCCAGAGAGACAAAGGGCTAATTGGAGTGCTTTTAAACTGGACATTTATCTAGATATATAAGAAAAATTTGTATTAAATAACTTGACAACAACAAAACAGCATATTGGAGTTTAAAATAATATGTACCTTGTGAATTTCTTTTGTAGGAAAGCATCTATGACCACCTCCTTTGAGGTGGAGTGCAAGAGTAGGAAAAAAGGAAAAGGGTTGTTTGATTGTTACCTCTGAGAGATTATTTGTTAGAATATTGAGTTCCTACACGTACCTTCTTGATCTGTGAGAATCTTTGAAATATTCTTTTTCTGGGTTGTTGGCTATTTGCAAAGCCTGTGCATCTTGATTTGAAAAAAGGCCTTGCTTTTTATGGATTCTGTTTGGAAACCGTACTGAGTATCAGCAAGTTTGACCAACTTTACCCTTTAGCACTACCACTTAATGGCTGGGGGATCTCAGGCAGCATCCTCAGCTGAAGAGTGTGGATAACCGCGTGGCTGCTGTGAAGACTAGTGACTTCGTGTCTGTAAGAGCAGTGTCTGGCGCATGGTTGCTGCCCTTGATGCTAGCCAAAAGGCCGAGAAGCAATGGCACATGGTTGCTGCTGTGTGAAAGTTGGCTGTTGATATTGACATTACTTAGATCAGTGATGGCGAACCTTTCAGAGCTTTCAGGAGCCCAAACAGCCCGCTGTGGCATGCATGCCATAGGTTCGTCACCACTGACCTAGATAATCTATACTTTTCAAAAGATGGATGGGATTGACTATCCCTGGGAGGCATTGCTGCCTCTAAGAAAAATCTAGACATGAAAGAATTTAAAATCCAATGGTAAGAGTTTTCTTGATCATAATGAATAAACCATTTCACTGTAATAATGCCTCATCTGACTCTAGATTTTGAAGTGAAATGACGTTTGTTCCGACATAAAAAAAGCTTAAAATTTTCCTCTAAATAACTTAGTTAACTGGCATGCGAAATTTGTTAGTCATAACACTCACATCCATTTATTTTAAGATCTCAGTTTTTCAGAATTATGTATTGTTTGAACTGCTGTAATTTAATAATGGTTCTGATTAAGTTTATATAAAGTCATTTAGCTCATTTATCTTTTCAGTCTGGTTTCCCAACCCTCATCTCTTTTTCTCCCCAAATCCTTATAAAAACAAACAAAAACCTTACCTACATCCTTTCTGTAAAGAAAAAGCTGCTAATCTCAAATTCTTAACTAGATTACGCAGTTTGCACACATTTTGGCTTGTCTTGAAGTTTGCATTTCACCTGTCCCCAAAGCAGACAGACTCAGCTTTCATTAGCTCTTAGAATAATACCTGCTGTCTTGGATCAAGCATTTGGCAGCTCTTTATTTCCCTGTGTAACATTCCAAAAGTTGGGAGTTAGGGTAAATTAAAACTTTTTTATTAGGAAAAACCTCCAAATAAGTGTGACGTTGAGAGCAACATTGAGTGCTGTAGCTTTTTGTAGTTGTCTGCTGTTCACACTGAATCCATCAAGATCATTTAATATTTTTGTTGAAGTCTTGAATGTTTATGTGATACACACATATTTTTTTCTCTGTTTGGGGCTGTTAGGATGTGATTTCCCCAGAATTCAGTGGTCAACAGAAGTTAAATGATCTGTTCTTAGAACATAGAAATTCCTCTTTATAAAATAAAACAAAGTACTTGTATTTGAGAAATCTGTCTTTCAGAAATAGCTTTGGCGGAAAACAGGCTTTCTATGTATAAGTATATATATTAAATTGCTTTTTATTAAACAAAATTGATTAATTCTATAGAGCAGTTCAACTCTAAAACTAAATAACAATTGAAAAATTAGATTGAAGTAGAATAAATTCTAAGCTTAACATTCCCGTTATTTTCTACACTTCCAAATAAAGCAATGTCTATGTGTAGTCAAATCTCAATTTAATGTTTTGTAGACTTTAATATTTGCCTCCTAAAATGTCAACCAAGTTTGCAGTGTTCCCTTCCTAAAATATTTTTATATTTACCAACTTTTCTTGGGTTTAGTTCTTTTGGAAAATAGTGTCGCCGAGTGCTTTTCTCTTGGCTAAAGCTGCTAACCAACAGAATTGCTAATTGTGGTGTGCTGTAGCCTTTGCAGAAGTCAGTTTCTCATGTATGCCATATAAAATGATGATGGCATTTCTTTCTCTTTGAAAGAAAGCCTTATGTGCTTATAATTTCCCTCTTGCATTTGGAATATTTGACTCAGGCCAAGGATTAATTTTGGTCTGAAACAGACAGAAAATGATTGAAGTAAAATATAGAAGTGTATTCAGCTGCAAATGAACCTATCCAACATTAGAAGGAACACTTCTAAAATAAGTCAAGGATTAAAATTGCCACCAGTGGAACTGGAATGTGGACAGCTGGTGATAGAAGCTGGTGTTGGCATTGGCAGCACAAAGGGAGCAATCTAGACACAAAAAGGAAGTGGGGCCAGGTCTGGAACACTTTCTCCTATGTATGTATCAGACACAGATCGTCTTTTCTTCAGTGTCAGGCAGGTATGCATTCGTTCTCCAGCAACTTTTTCCTCTCACAGTAATCGTGACTAAGTCAAGATAAAAAGAAAATTTTTAAAAGTGCTCTTTTTCATTTGCCTTTTAATTTATGTCTTAAATCCAGTAGTAAGTAAATCACATCCCTAATCTATGCAATTTAGCTTGTGATTTTTCTGCACAGCTGCATAATAGCAACTGCTCTCTGATTGTATCTGTGGCTCTAGAAATATACATAATAATAGATGCTGCCTTCAGGAGCTCTGAGGACACTGGAAAGTTGTGGAGGTCTCCTGCTGTGTGTTAAAAAGGCTGCAGAGCTGTTTTGCAGATGCAGCCTCATGTGGCCTGTCTTCAGTTTCAAATTGAAAAGATATTTTTGTCAGCAGTAAGGCTGGAAGTGTGTATTTGGGGAAGGAGACATTTGAATATCTACAACTAAGCATGAAGTTACATAATTATCTAGTTACTTCTGTTGAGATTGGCAGTGCAAACACGGGGAAAGATGGAGGGGAGGTACTAGTAGCTAGCTGGCAGTGGTTGCAGAGAAAGAAAGCCCCGGAAATATTTCTAATACTTTAAAGATTGTTTATAAGTAATATTTATGTTCTTTCATAAAGTCAGACATTAGCAAAAGAACTTTTGAGTTATTTTTTAATCCTCACTGCACATTTATAATTTACTCTGATCTTTTCCACACTTAAAACTCAGGTCCATGGAATTGTACGGCGATCTAGTTCATTTAATACAGGGCGAATTGAACATCTGTATAAGAATCCCCAGGCTCATATTGAAGGAAGTAAGTGATTATATTTTTCTACAATTTCTTTTTATAACTTCCTATGTTCAGATAGGATGTTTTCAAATGTCGTATTTTCTCAGAGTCCATCAAGTCACAATTATTTACCCATGAATTACTGCCTTGACTACAACCTGCGCTTTATGAAAATCTTTGTTGTTGCTTGCTGTTCTAGGCCATAGTGTCATCTTGGTTTGTCTGTTAGAAGGATATTGGGTAGCTGGCTTGGAGAAACCAAGGGAAGATATGCCTTTGATCATCCTTTTCCATGTGCTCCAGTTCTCCTAAGTAAGAGCAATTCCATATTGAAGGAGAATGCCTTTCCTTTTTCCTTTTGGTCTGATTTACTCAAGTTAAATGGAGTTTGCACATTTAATTAAATTTTAAAATTATTTGTGAAGACAGGTCCAAAATCCATTAACAATCAAAACTGTATTTGAATTGTTTTACAGTTCATTGTCAGAATTTTCAATTATTTTGTTGTTTTTGCTACTAAATTTTCCTGTGTGTATCTATGTGGTTACCATAGCACAATCACAGTATTTTCTCCATGGATTCCATAGCAACTACTGAGCTTGTTAGGGAGACCATTTTGTACACAGGGAATGGGGACACAGAGAGGTTGTGACTTTACCAGTCACGTAACACAAAGAAGGCAGAGCTCTGACTAGGACACAGGATTTTTAACTCCAAGGTCAGCCTGCATTACTTAGCCTGTTTTTCTAGACAGCAAGGACAGTACTGTCAGCTTGTAAATGATAGTTGATTTTGTATTTACCTGGAGGGCCCTGAATATTTAAGGTTCAGTAGTTTAGGTAGTGATATCAGGAAGGTGATTCAGTTGTCCACAAGAAAGGCTCTCCACCTTAATGTCTATGTTTGTAAGTTCATCTTTCGTTAAGATTATTACAGGTTGAATATCCCTCATCCGAAATACTTGGGACCAGAAATTCTTTGGATTTTGGATTTTTCAGATTTTGGAATATTTCCATATACGTAATGAGATGGCTTGGGGATAGGACCCAACTCTAAATAGGAAATCCACTGGTTTTTCATATATACTTTATATATGTAACCCAATGATAATTTTTGCGATATTTTAAATAATTTTTTGGGTATGAAACAGTTTCATTGTGTGAAATTTTCCACTTAAGGTATCGTGTCATCAGCACTTTTTAAAAGTTTCAGGTTTTGGAGCATTTCAAATATTGAATTTTCAGATTAGAGATGTTCACTCTGTATTATTGTTGTGCAAACCGCAGAAGGCCACTGAATCTAGATATAAATTAATATTTTATAAAAATAATGAAATGATCAAGTAAGCAAATCATCTGTACATCTCAAATTCTTACACTAATGAAGTCAGTGAAAGGAGCAGCTTAAACTTAGGAGGTGATAGACTAGTTCTCTTAATCAATAATGTCACTACATTAGGCATATCACAGGAAGTGTAAAGATTGATCTTCGTGATGTACTTATAAATCACTGGAGAAAAGTATCTGAACAAAAGTATCAAATATAGAGCTATCTTCACTATCATTCAGTGTGTGTTACAGATTTCTTTAGAGGGTAAGTACATTATTCCAAGGTTTTATTTGTCTGACTCTTACTCATATATAACAGATCTTAAAACAACTATGAACCACAAGTTATGTTAATTGAAAAACATCTGTCATGTTATGATTTTTGAACAAGTCTGTGTTTACTACTAAAAATTCTGTATAGACATAGGCAACATATATAAATATCTTTCTACTCTGCTGGTGCTTTATAGTTGACAGTTATACTTTGCCAGTCCATTATAACCACACAAACACAACATTTTCATTGAGACCTGTTTTTCAGACTTTCTTAATAAGCATTTCAATTTTGATATTGTAAAAGATTGGATTCTGTTGTTTTCACCTGTTGAATGGCTCATTTCTAACCCTACAGACATGAAGTTGCACTACGGTGATCTCACTGACAGTACCTGCCTCGTGAAGATAATCAATGCAGTGAAGCCTACAGAGATCTACAACCTTGGAGCCCAGAGCCACGTCAAAGTAAGCTGTTCTTCTGTCAGGTCTCCCTGGCTGTGTTCCTGCTGCATTCTGTGTTTTCTGCTTCTCAATTCAATAACACAACCTCATTAATATTAGTTTGGATATTCATTCTGATAGAAAATCGATATTTTTAAAGGTGTCATCTGTTATTGACTAGCATAATAAAATGTTATGTGAACAGTGAAATAGCAGTTGTCATTTATTTTGGGCTGTTCACTGTAGGCATGAGTCACGGATGTGTTTTATGCCATTTCAAATCACATTGTGAATGAAATGTTTTGTTAAAATGTTGGAAGATGTAAGTTATTAGACTTTATTTTCATATTAATATTTGGTAGTGGCTATATGGCCAAGAGAATATTTTTTGTCATAATAATATGTTCAAATTAGCTGTGCTAACTTCTTCTTGTGAGGATAAAACTCCCTGGAAGAAGCTCTTAGCGTCCTCCTCCTCTGTGTGATGCATCATTTGTGCTCAGATTCTCTGGTGCTCTGCCCACCTTCTTGGAGTTGTTCTTTCTGGAATGAATTGCAGCAAACCTGAGGAGCTCATCCCAGACTTCTAACAACCTGCTTGACTTGGACTTTTGTGCCTGTGTCCTACAGCTCCCTTGGGGAAGTGGAAGCAGAAACCAGGGGCAATAGGAGTTCTATGTACTTATTCAGTCCCGATGTTTAGTGGAGCTTAGAAATGGCAGCAAATAACTAAGTTAAAAAAAAAAATCCAAAACTCTATCCACGTGTTTTGCTGTTTAATGAACAAAGATAGCGAGTTATTGGGGGAAGTATTTACAGTGATTTGGTATATCTTTGTACCCCCTTATTTGCACAGAATGGAGCCAAGATGAGTGTTTTCTGTGTCTCTGTTAGTTTAAAGAAGAAATTGTGAACTAAATCAAATGAAACAGTACAGTAAGCTCAGTCTTATAATTGATGACACATTTGAAAATTTAGCATCAATCTGCTTAATACATTTCCCTTTAATGTAGTGGCTATATAGCAATCATAAGGATGCTTCTCACCTGCCTCTGCTCTAGGAAAGAAATCCACCCATCCTTTTTCTGGTGCTGGGTCTTGTTAATCATGTGCTCTACCACTGAGATATACCTTTAGCCCTTTTCCCTTTCTTAATCTCTGATGACCTGTGTTACTACCATGCTTAAAACTTGGTCAGTAAAAAGGTATCAAGGTCTCTAGGTTCTAGTGGTTCTTATTTCCTAACTGATTTTCAGTGTGTTTTCCCATTTTGAAAACGTGTGTACTTGATATTGTACCTGAGAAATTATTAACCCTCTTTACGACAGAGGAGCAGTGACCCTCTATCATTCCAGGAATGAAGACTGTATTTTTCCCTAATTGAGGCAGTCTGTTTTCCACATTGTTATTCATCTGGTTGTTTTTGACCTTTATGACCAGCTGAGAGAATATCTTCCAGACAAAACAGAGTGTTTTGGAACCAGCTCTCTGTTACTCAATTTCCCTAAGATTAAGAAGTTTCCTTTGTGATCAAGATAGTTTATCACCTCTGAAAGCTATAAGCCAGAGTGGTGGGAAGATGCAAGAAATTTTATAAAAATGTATTTATGGAAAGCCTCCCCAGCTTGTTGTGGTGATTCACTCCTATAATCTCAGAAATCTGGGAAGCTGAAGGAGGAGCATTGCAAGTTTGAGTCCAGCCCAGGCAATTTAGCAATTTAGCAAGACTGTCTCAGAAAAGAAGAGGGCCGGGGATGTAGCTCAGTGTGAAGGCCTTGGGTTCGTTCCCCAGAACAGGGGCGCGGAGGAAGAGAGCAAGCCAGCCAGCCTTTACCCTGTCACTTTAGGATCAAATGAGTAGATCCTTTTCTTTCTCCAAAACACCTTTGTAGTTCAAAAAGATATGTTGTATTTTCCTTAGTTGCAGTGAGCATAATAGTGTTTGGTTATCATTCTGGAGTGGTTATACTGTCAGTAACAAAAAGCATAGGAAATTGAGTTGATTCCTTCTAAGTTGCTATGTTTGTGACTTTCTCTTCTTTTTTTTTTTTTTTTGGCTGCTTTTCTAAGGTCAATTAGTTGATAGGAATGGTGCTCAATTAAGAATTTAGGTTTGTAAGGCTATTTAATCCTCAGGCAAGTATTTGTGGAGTGCATAAGTGATACAGGTATCATACATGATGCAGTAAAGAATAAGGAGATGTAGAAAATCTACTCATGCTGGGGAGGGTTTCAGTGTAGAAGGACCATTTGGGGCATGTGCCAGAGGCTTACATGAGGTCTTC